ATTATTAAGCACTCAAAAATTCGATTCATTCACTGTAAAAAGTATATTATATTCTGGGCTTCAGTTTTATACCTAATTTAAACTTTTTACAAGGATGTTATATTGGACACATACTTTCAGTAATTGCAAGTACACCAGTCACTTATCACTTAAATATGATGTTATTGTATATTTCATTGTGGAATTATATATGTTGTCACACGAAAAAGAATTTATTAAAATATTTATTGAATTTTATATTACACTACATGTATTTACTACAGTGACCCCAGTCATCGTTATAAAGAATAAATGTTCTCAAATTACATAGGTCGAGCTTCTGCAGATACGCGATATCTGTATATGACTTACATGATACTAACTCGTACAAACGTCTTTTCTGAGCACACATGGCATTTCAAATGTCCTTAGTTTAGTTTAATCGGTCATCTGCGCCGAAGTTTTTTCGTAGTGACCTGATGCAAATTGTCCGTGGTAAGGCATCGTATGAGTTCTAATATCGATTGCGGGATATTAAACAATAAAATATTTCAATGTTCTCACATTAAAAAACAATCTTGTTGATTGAGTTACCACCATAGCTTTACACTTCAAAGATTTTACATTGTTTACCTTATAGTTTGATTTCGAAGGACTATTGGCTCACGTCACTTGTGTATGTTTTTACTCAATTGTAGTTGTTAAATTGCATTTGTAGTCTGCCTACGCTTAGGAATCATTAAATTGCTGAAGGCCCTAAAATCATTCAGTTCCGTGCATTTTGAGGATGTGTATTTAGATGTGATTTATTCTATGCGCCATTAATCACGTACGAGTGTGCCGCGCCCTTGCTTTTAAAGAACACACTTTCTGAATTATCACCTTAAATATTTTTTTGGTTTAATTCTGTAAATTTGGGCGTCTTGTTGGGTATTTCCGCACATGTAGCCACTACAAATAAATGTGGCCAAACGTGAGTATGCTTAAATAAAGCACACTTGAAATGGTCGTGGCCGTTTTTACGGTGCTCCACCTCGCGACTTTGGTGTCTCCGTGCGGCTTTACTACAATATTTATGACATAATGAATTATGAATTGTATTAAGTTACACGTGGCATGACGTCCATTCAAAAGTTCAGGAATTTCTGACCATCCATTCGTGAAATTGGTCCGCAGGACGTCGATTTCTGCTGACTCAGCAAACCCCGTCCTGGATGGGTTAGGTTAGGTAAGGTTAGTTGGTATATGCGCAGAAGTAGGTGCGCAGTGGTGTCACGGAAGGTGTCCCATACTGGGCTAAACAAACATAGTCCGTAATGAGATACTCTAAAGTAAAAAAAAATGTTTTAATCATCTTTGGTAGAGCTTATAATATGGTAGAACGTGGAAGGTAGGTCGTTTGTAGTAGATCCAGGGCAATTTATAGTCATTTTCAAAAGGAATTTAGGTTCATGATTCACCAGAAGAGGATCTGGTGGCATCCCCACATGGTTACAGCGGAAGTCCAAACTCTGTACTTCAGAGCGTTTCAGATAATTTATAGGTGCCAGTTCTAACGGTGAGTGAAGCTCTATGTCAATATTAAGATCCATTTTAGGCGTATCACCGGCTAGACTTTTTACACCATTGAAGTCAAAGTCGTGGGCAGAACGATCCACGGTTTCAAAATAAAACAAGTAGCCAGCATACTCTACAGATTGGTGGTAAACAGAAGGTACTCTGCATTTTGATGTGAACCTAGAGCCTCTCTTTCGAAATAGCACTTTTCTTTCGCAGAGAATTTTCTCCAGGAATAAATGGTCCCTTTTAGTGATGAGTTGGCGCATGCACAGGTACATACGTCTCTGTTCATCGTTCCACATCTTAGATTGATGATCATATGAATGTTGGAAACAGAACCACGTGTTAGGCATCCTGTAATAAACCGAAACACAGATTAAATAATTATGTCGTGTTCGGTGCAGGGAATTGAACTGGGTGTAAAATTCCAGCGACCTTTGCCTACGTCATACGAGGAGGTCAAATGGGAGGAAGGCCCCATGTACTCTGTTACTTCCCCTCACACATCCCTACCCTGATATCTCGATTCCAACGAGTTTGTTTGTAACTGCATCGAAGCTCGGAGATATTTTGCGACAATGAAGCTCAGGCTCGTGGTCTAAGTTCTGTGCCTGGTTGTGCCCAAATAATTTTCAAGCGACATATGTTATGACTGTTTGCAACTAAACTCGTGACATCGGGAGGCTGCCACCTCCCAAGATATGGACCACTCAGGCTAGCGGGTTATCATATCGTGTCAGAGCCCTGACAATCACAGTATGCTATTCGAGATTGCAGAACCTCATAACCTGATAAAGCGTTCTAAAATACGCGAAAACCGTCTACCGGACCTCTCACGTAAAAGTGAACGAACAACGTTTTTCACTCCAACAAATTTTTTATGTCCGAAACGTACGAAAGTCTTTTCAGGGAATCAGACTTACAAAATGAAGTATACGTTAAAGACTTACGAAATTATCGATCTTAAATTTTTATTGCGGGGGGGGGGCTAGACAGAGGCCACTTTGCCCACTGGATACCTTATTCGGTTTTCGACACGGGGGAAGATTACACACGACAGACAGACTTAAAGGAACGCGGTGCTTATAACGTGTCCTTTTCTCGTGTTGAGGTGCTGTGCTTTGTGCCTGTCGGCAATCGGTTGTGTTTCTTCGAACAAAGAAACAAAAATCCCAAACAGTGGACAGTCGGTCATAGCGGTGGCGATATTACCGACACTCACATGACAGTCAGCGAGGAAAATCTCGGTCACGAAAACCGTTGTTATTTATTCTTGCATCCGCAATTTCACGCTCAGTATCGAGGAAAGGGGTTCAGAATAAACAACAGAAACAGCTCGATCCATAGAAGTGATCAGACGATGGCGCGCGGCTGGGATAAACGTAGGTTTTGGTAATGTGCGTTTACGTAATTTGTGTTCAAGCCTCTTTGATAAGTTTCCCGATTACTTCTGACTAAACAAGTCACTGTGACTTACTGCAACAGTTTGAAATTGAACAATATATTACAGCACGGCGAGAAAGACGAATTTTTACAATAAAACTTTTAAGACTTCAATTTTGTGCGTTCCTTCCACTTTTAAGTATCTAAAAACATCTGTTTAGGGGCTCAAGTTTTGTAGCGGAGCATTTTATAATCGACTTCGCCACCGGACCTAACAGTGAATCGAGGCCTTCTCAAAAATATTCTGCAAAATAATAACAAAATTTAAAGTGTATGAATACAATCTCACAGCCTCAGTGCGTTGGACCATTTTGCGAGCGCAATCAGGTCAGCCACACCACCGCTGCGCTCTCTGGAGACGGACAAACTAACTAACTCCCTGGTAGCGAAACCCGGAGGTCCAACGCCGACAACACCAAAGCCCGTCACCGGCCACGATCCTTCGCCAACTCCGTCCATTTTCCATCGTCACAGCCAAAAATTCCGTATTCACGCGTTGTTTCCCCCCCTCCACGCGTGTCTGAAGACCGACAGTTTTGTTAATTCGCATTAGAAACTGAAGATGGCGATGTGGCGTGTTATTTATTGATAAAAGGATTTCCGTATCGCGGGGTCCCAAGTTAATGTTCACTTCCTTACCTGTAATGAGCCTTGATGTGGCATTCCGTTCCATTGACTGTAATCGCCTGTTCATACGGGGTCGTCCTGTCATCGTCCGACAGCAAGCAATCGAAAAGGTCAATGAACTTTGCCCCAGAGATGGAATAATCATTGTTCAACTTCTTCTCAGTAATTCTCTCGAAGTGGTTCATGAACGTCCTACACGGAACCATCAGTTTTGTGACGTCGTTTACTTTATATACGTAACGCAAATTGACTTCCAAGTCTTCTGGAGAGTCGTGGGCCAGCCGCAGAAACGAGAGGAACTCGTCCAGCAGAGTGCCTGCGTAGAAGCACGCTAGTTGTCCGGAACCGGAGTAAGGGTTGCAAACGTACCTCCAGGTGACGGCTGTCAGCAGACTGTACTACAAACAAACAAACAAAGAGGGTAACTGTGTGACAGTTTCCTTGGTCCATGTAAATGCAATTCTGATACCCTTATTCCACGCAGGAGCGGCTGATTAAAACCCCCCGCAGTTGGTTCGTCGTCGGTTAAATCATAAACGAATAAACAGCCGATGTTACTTTGGGTGGTTTTGCTGTTTGTAGCCGAATCTGCAAGAAACTTTCTTTTCGACTAAGGGATTTTCATTAAACTTGTGTGAACAAGTCACAAGACGTTTCCTTCGCCCATACGAACTCTTAGGTTGATGGAACACTAGCACGAATTCGATGTTTTATACCGAAAAGAGGTTTGAAAAAATTCCGTCTCTTGAGATCTTAGCAGACAATTATAAAGAAAAGTTGAATTATTAACATAAATGGCCGATTTAATTACCTCACCATAAACATTGAGAAATATCACCAATTATAGCCACCGTTAGTTCTTAACAGAACTTCTTCTTAATCTGTTTCTGTTAACAATAAATAATATTAATATACGCTAAATTGTTGCAATGGTGAATTAATTTTTTTTTTTAAGTATTAATATCTCTGTTACGTGTCGTATTTTGCATTCAGATGAATGTCACATAGCTGACTTTTCAAATCTTAGAACATTTACTGAGCAGATTTCATATATTTTTCAGAATTCGGAAATTGTGAATTATACGGATACGGTACTAACTAACTAGATGGCTTATGGAAGCCCAAGGTCCATAACCAAGCTCGTCATTATGCAGTTTTCTCCACGCCCCATCGTCTTCTCTCCTGGGCCCAAATATCCTCCTCAACACCCGATTCTCAAACACCTGCGATCCGTGTTCCTCCCTCAGAGTGAGAGACCATGTTTCACACCCATACAAAACAACAGGCAAGATTTCAATTTCGTATAGTTAGGCTTTAGGTTTCTAAGAAATCTGACGGGAGGACAAAATATTTTGAACTCAGAAGTATCAGGCATTTCCGGAATTCAACCTTTCCCCCACTCTCTTACCTGAGACTTCATAAACATCAGCGCAATGAAAGCTCGATTCATTCCTATAAGTTCTTCTTCTGTTCGAACTTGTTCAATACGATGTTCGATATCCTTCATAGCTCGATCGATCTTTGGACCCAAGGTCGAGAATCCCCGATTGAGAACTGAGGTGGCGACGTCACAGAATCGCTTGCACACGAGCCTCACTCGTGTAGCCAAGTCATCGTAAGAGCACTGTTCGAAAATGAGAGCCAGCGCCTCTGGCGGCAAGTCCGTGATGTGCAGTCCAAAGGTTTCCTGTTCCTGTTGACCGGAGGCTCCAACATTATCCGACCCACCAAATCCACTAGTCACTCTTGACTTGTTAAAGCGAATAAAATTGGTCATCTCGACGAGAGTTTTGTGATCAGAATATTCCTGGTTTTTAAATGATATTATCTGACTTAAATATTTAAGACTTACGATTCAATGCGTTAGGTTTTTATTCGATTATCACACGAGAGACAAAAACACGTCCTCAACTTTCTCGCTACTCTGGACAACAACAGAAACTTACTAAGAGTCAACAATGAGACAGCTAGCCAACAATGTAAAGCAGTCATTGTTGTACAACAATGCTCTGACGTCACGTCTCGCAGTTTACACTTCCAACAATCAGTTTTCTCACGAAATAATGTATGTAGGTGATGTAGATAGCTGTATGGTAGGGTTTTAACGACAATGCGCCAACTGCATCGGTTATTTAACATCGTATAATAACATAATATTACAGAAATCTATAATGTAGAAGGACTTCGACACAAATCCTTCCTTCGTCGACTGTTTTAAGGCGGGCTACGTAATTCGAGTTAGACCCACTGTGAAACTTTAATTAAATATGTGGGATGATAAGATGAGTATTAAATAAAAAGACAAGACACACAGAAACAAATTTAACATTTAATTCAAATATTAAAATTAAGAATAGCTGAAGTATGCACACCAAGTTTAAAAAATTGAACTTCTGACAAATAAACATTTATATTCGAAGGCAGATGAAACACTGTAGTCCCAAAACTCAGGTGCGACGACAAACCTACGCTGTAAAATGATGGAAAAGATTTAGAGAGAGAAACTTTAAAGTTTATGATGATGAGGACGGAGTGGGTTGCAGACATTTTAATAAACTATATAAAATTATGTTAATGCAAGTGATCAGTACTGCCTGGACCAAGTGTCTGATTAATGAGGATGAAGCCCATATGTTTTAATCAACAAGTCCGAGGTTGAATTCAGTCCTGAGCACACATCTCAGCTGCAACTGGGATGTAACTGCTTCCGTCCTACATTCTTTAACAAAATGTACATGGCACGGAAACTTTTTGTGAAGATCAAGACGACGCTTGGATATATTTATTCACGGTATTCTGTTTGGTATTTTTAAGTAAGTTAATGTATAAATACAAAATATTACAACAAAATACACACAACTAAGAACTTGCATTCAGTTAAGATACGTAAAATATGAGACAGCTCCAACCACACGAGGAACTGCAAATTCAGAAGATTATACATACAAATAAGCACTTTCAAATGTTATCGTTTGTTTTAAGGAACAATAACTCAAAGTTACACTTACCGTTCAATCAGTTAACTTTAAAATTTAGAAGAGATGTGCCTACAATGAGATTTTTCTTCACCACAAACAAATAACACCAACGTCCACCGCCATGACAGCTCGAGAATGTTATATAGTATGCCGTCATCAGCTGTACGAACAGACAGCGCTATTCACATCATTTGAAAGTTAATTTGGATGGCGGAATAAAACGCCACAACCCAGTCCCAATCTCTAAGTTTGACCTCAGAAGTCGAAAACTGCTAATCGCTGTAAGTGAACATTGATTTGAATTTAAATTAGATCGCGAATCCCGAAACACGTGAAAACAATAACCAATCAACTTACACAATTAAGGTTTAGACCAAAGAGAATATACTGGTACCACAGTCAATACCAACATTGGAACGTTTTAGTTGCAGCTCCAGGTCTGCCAAATTAAAAATTAATCGAAATTTATGTGAAATAATGGTACTGCAATTCAATTATCAATAAACTTGCAAAATTGATACGAGAGTCTCGAAAGTGACGCAGACATCGTCACAAAAACATACAAATACTCTTATTTATATCTGTATCTCGCAGACACATGCCTTCAAAGAATGGTGATAGTGAGTATAAATGCGTTCTTTATATGATTTACAATATCAATACCTTGCCAATGTTTCCTTTTCGTAACCCGATTTGATGCTCCTATCCCATATCATGTATCTCACTGAGGAGACTAATTGCTCGACATAACCATACTTTGCTTTGTAAAATTGGGTGACAGCTTAGGCACAATATTATAACTACATGATAAACATTTAAACTGGTGCTCATCTAACTTTGCACCACAAACAGATACAACTGGTCACACAATGCGAGGCCTTAAAAAACAGCTAGTTATGTCAAGAAGCAGCACTTCTTTCCGAAACACAAAAATCAGTGTAAATGTTGTACAGTTCAATGCTTCTCTCATGAGACATAAGCTTTCTTGAAGTCTGTAAAAGAAACTCTGAAGATGTTTTATCTCGACATACATATATATTTATTTATTTTTAAACACTTTTTACATCATGCAATACACAATTTTTGAGATACTCTTTTTCCTTATACACAATTCAGTCTGTTTACAAAGTAAATGCATGACAGCCATCCGTGCCGATCTAAACTCAAAGCCTGATCCTAAGACACAAACTAATTCACAAAAAAAATCAGAGCCGTCTTTCAGTATTTTTCCAAATCTGATATCATCTTTCCATGAACAAGTTGTTAACATATGTGAGACGTGTAAATCATCTACAATCATAAATTGAGGAATATGAAGTCCCAGCGATAATCGAAATATAATCAGCACGTGGAGCAGTCTCTTGTTACTGTCAAATGTATTGAAGTGTGCAGGGACTTTATGGAAAGGGATATACAATTCTTGTCATGAAAATTCAGGAGAGCAAATGAGAGAATCCCATTACATCTTGCATCTCTAATTTCTTTTGGACAGACATGCATACTACATTGTTTAAAAACTATTGTTGATTACGCCACGGCGTTGGCTGAGGAGGGGAGGTTTTATGACGTAATAATAAGCAACAATATATCCCGAAACGGATTGTTTATTTATAAACAATGCGTTACCCACAAACAGCTGGTGAACAATAGATTATTAAGTCTTACGCTGCCCATAGACAGTATAAAAAGTGTTAAAAGAGCTGTGTGAGAAAGAATGGCCTTGCCGAAGTCCAAGATTCCTAGATATCATAAAGAAATTAGTAAGTATATTAATGCTTACGTATTTATTCCTAATTAAAT